AAATAGGATTCCGAAGCACCAGAAGCAGCCACGTAGGCTCAGCGCATTCGGAAATTATATATAGGGAGGATTGTACGCCACAACAGGTTTGCACTTATTAGTTTGTTAAATTAAACCAGCCTGGCTCGGCTCAAGCTCGACTCGTTAAGGCTTGGTTCGGCTTCGAGCCGAGCTCGAGCTCGGCTCGTTAAGGCTCGGTTCGGCTCGAGTTCGAAGCCTTAACGAGTCGAGCTCGAGCTCATTTAAGCTCGTTTGGTTAATGAGCCGAGATCAGCTCGGCTCGTTAAAGCTCGAGCTCGATTTTTAGCTCGTTTACTTAACGAGCCGAGTCAAACACCTTAAACTCGAGCTCGACTCAGCTTGTTTACTGATATAGCATAAATATTAAAATACTAGATATGAGAAGTATTTTGAGTCGCAAAGTCTATTCATCCCAAATTTTTTTTCTTCGAACGATAGGTTCTATAGCCGAAAACACAAATTACATACTAGAACATGGAATTCGCTGAGAATCAGCCAATCAATTGAACTAGTTGGGAGAACAACACTAAGTGTAGTCTAGAGCCAACTAAACGCCAACAAGCACACAACACATAAGAACCAACACGCAACTCCCAAAAGAGGAGAGGAAAAAACTTCCACAAGAAGAGGAACTCCCAAGCGGGAGAATCGAAAAGACAACAAACACAAACCTACCACATACTACAACAGGAAACACAACAACTTAAAACCAACAAACACCTTCCCCATCGGATAACAACCCCATCGCCACCACGAATTAAACAAACACTCAGGCGCAGACAACCGAGAAGCGGCTCCAAAACTATAGCCCACAACTGGTCAAATTAGAACCGATCCGTGGAACCGAAACCCAACCCTAGAGTACCGCATACCCACCCAAGGCGGTCCACCACCACAGCCCCCTCCAAGCACACTCTGGAGCCGCTCCACAGCCTAGAGCCACCGCCCGGAGGTCCCCGCCGTCCGAGCACCAGGGAAAGTCGGGAAAGGAAGGACTCAAGGTTGGATCACCCCCACAGACCACCAGAGGACGTCCGTGACGACTGTCAGACTCGGTAAAACAGACGCAGCTCGCCTCGACCACGTCCGCCATGTCACTCATAACAGAGCAGAACCACGTCGGTGCTGAAGAGTCGAGACCGCTTTGGCCGCGCCGACGGGCCCACCACTGGTCAAATTAGAACTATAGCCCACAACTAGTCAAATTAGAACCGATCTGTGGAACCGAAACCCACCCCTAGAGTACCGCATACCCACCCAAGGCGGCCCACCACCACAGCCCCCTCCAACCACACTCTGGAGCCGCTCCACAGCCTAGAGCCACCGCCCGGAGGTCCCCGCCGTCCCAGCACCAAGGAAAGTTGGGAAAGGAAGGACTCAAGGTTGGACCACCCCCACAGACCACCAGAGGACGTCCGTGATGACTGTCAGACTCGGTAAAACAGACGCAGTTCGCCTCGACCACGTCCGCCATGGCACTCATAACAGAGCAGAACCACGTCGGTGCTGGAGAGTCGAGACCGCCTTGGCCGCGCCGACGGGCTTGGGTTCGAGCCACAAGCTCGCCAGAGGCGCAAGGACGATGGCCGCCCGAGGGGAGACACACCCGAGGAAGAAGACGGCTAGGCTCGACCGAAGGATTTGAGGATTAAGTATTATTTGAAGAGAGATTCAACTAGTTAACTGTTCCAAAACATGCTCCAAAGTCCAAACACATGGGTGAGTGGGGGTAGTTGGCGCTTAACTCAACTGAATATTGCATAAACTAGATTAATTAATGAAAAGAATAAAGAAACGCAGGAACTCACCATTTGAGAGGCCATTTTCCCAATGGAAATCACAGTACCAAAAACCCACACAAAACCCCGTCTTCCTCTTCGCATGAAAAGCACTCCTTACAAAACTCCCCCACCTAACCCTCTAACCCAACTCCAATTGCCTCTGCACAGACCCGAACACAAACCGCCCAAACCCATCAGAACCGGAAACCCGAAAACCCGACCCGTCGCCACCACATCCGACGTCTTACGCCTGATGGACAGCCTCCGATTCCCCGTGCCGCTCGACATCTACGCCTTGCTCGTCGGAGAATGCGCAGAATCCGGCGACCCTTCAAAAGCCGTCGAGCTTCACGATCACGTCAGAAGAAGCAGGCTCCGTTTGGGCGTAGGCATGCTCAACCGAATCATGCTAATGCACGTCTCGTGCGGGTCCCTCGCGCACGCGCGCCAGGTGTTTGACCAAATGCTCGTTACAGATTTCAACTCGTGGGCAGTTGTTATCGCGGCTTGTGTCGAGAATGGGGAGTATGATGAAGCCATAGAGCTGTTTGTGAAGATGCTCCGCGGAAAGGGATTTAAA